AGGTTCTCTGTAGGGAAGTGAATTAATACTAAACTTGTACAAAGTGAGAGGCCATAGAGATTTGATTCATTCTGGCTTAAAACTCAGGGTTACGGTCCTCCTTAAATATTTTATCAAGCTCTAAAAATTGATTTGCAGTCCCCATTAATTTTTAAATGCATGTCAGAAAATATTTTCTTAGGTTTGGTCATGGCCAAAGATTGTGCCTGTTAATTAAGGCTGGCAGCGGCTTCTTCTTCTGTCTTCCCTTTGCCCTCTCCTCCCTCCCCAGCCACCATCCCTGTTAAGTCTTATGGTAGAGCCAGTTTTGAAAATACCAGCAAGACACACACACATTCCCACTTGGGAGGAAGCCTGGCCACCTCGGAAAGTGTGTGTTGGCTAACGTGGAGTCCATAGGACAGTTGGGCTCATGTCTCCTAGAAACTGTGAAGCCTGCCAGGTGATAACCCAAATTAATTTTTTAATCACTTATAATTCTTCATATTATTTTTATTTAATACCATTAAGTGATCCACGTATTCCTCACAGGCAGTCCCTTGCACATACCCTCTGTAAGTTTGCACTCTGCCATGGCTAGGCATGGCCCGATGCTGACCAGCATGGAGACTTAATAAGGCAGACAGTTTGCCAGCAGTGGGGGAGTTGTAAGGGACATGCCCAGGGGCCGGCCAGCTAGATTTGGAAAGTGAAGAGGGCGGGTTGAGGCAGTGGAACCCGTGGTGACTGACCCATGGCAAGTGCACCACCCATCTTGCCCATCCTGTGGTGAAGACAACATGGGATTTCAGCATAACCCCACCCACCACAAGTCAGGGTACCCAAACCACATTCACCCAGAATCCCATCCCTAAGACCAATCTGTGAGTTACTGAGGCTGTTTTGAAGGTTTAGATTTTCTTCCTTCCTTCCCGTGCCCAAGTCCCTTTGTATGTCCATGCTTTCACATTGCAGCAGCCTTAGGGGAGCTCTTCTTAACTGGGACCAAGGTGTTGGCCTGGCAAGGACATGGACGCACCAAGGGTAGGAGAACAACTTCTCTGCAGACATCCTTAATTCAACGAGTGTGTTCCAGGTGAACTGGCTGTGGTCACACACTTGTCATCAACATTGCCTGGAAGAGACAGAATCCAAGCGACCAACGCTTACAGTTTATCGTGCAGCACTTCTCAGTATATCCAGATTTTAATCAGAAACATTCCATTTTTCTATGTTCGTGAGTAATTCAAATGATTTTTTAAAATACAGAGGGGAAAAAACATCTGTGAAGGAAAGTTGAACCCTCTGTAGTTAGAGAACTCCTAGAAATAAGCTTTTCTGTAGCATTTGCAGGCAATATGGGGAATAAGAAATGCTGGAGGGATTTGAATAATTACACCATTTCCCATTTATAACCCCTTATAATTTACAGGGTACCTTCCAGAAAGTTACATAATTTGATCTTCACAATAATCCTGTGCGCTCACTAGTGTCACTCGGGTTGTCATTTCTGTCTCACAAAGGAAGTTTTAGACTGAAGGTAAAAACCTTGCCCAAGGTTTTTTGGTCATTGGCAGGCTCTGCTGCTTGTTCCTTTACAAGAGTAAATGAAGAGTATTCAGTTATCTTGTGGCCGGTACCTCAGACACATTGTCTCAATCCTTCCAACATGGTGGTACGAGCTCATTTGAAAGATTAGAAACAGAAACTGTCAACATAAGTAGCATTTATCAAGGTTCAGTGTAGTGGCAGATTTTAGTGTGGGTGAAAGGCTTTCAATGGACAATCTTGTTTTATCCTCAAAACAGGTGCTCTAGGTAGAAATGAGGTATTCAGGAGAAGAAAGGGAAAAATGAAGGTGGGGGAGTCAGAGGGGGAGACGAACCATGAGAGACTATGGACTCTGGGAAACAAACTGAAGGTTTCAGAGGGAAGGGGTTGGAGGGATGGCTTAGCCCGGTGATGGGTATTAAGGAGGGCAAGTATTGCGGTGAGCGCTGGGTGTTACACAAACAATGAGGCATGGAACACTACATCAAAAACTAATGAAGTGCTGTATGGTGACTAACATAACATACTAAAATAAATAAAAATGCTGAATATTAAAAAAAAGAGAAATGAGGTATTCTTAGAATCCCAATTTTACGGAAGAGGACAAAGAGGGTTTTTTTGTTTGTTTGTTTGTTTAATGGTTAAATGCCTAGGATCCCAGAACCAGTTAGAATTTGAAGCCCAAACTGTCTCTTTACCACTTTGGTGTGCTGGTCATGCCTATATGTTAGGTTAACCTGAATGAGACTGCTGATACACAACAGTTTGTCTTCTACAATAGCCATTGCGTATGGTTCAGCCTAATAATATGTACTTTTTTTGTCTCCAGTCAATCTTAAACTAATTTTCAGAAACAGGAAACAACTATGAATAAGTGGATTGTTTGGGGGAGTTTATAGTTGCATTGAGAAATCTGCTAATCATTTATTAACTTAAGAAGGATTCCAAACTTGAAAACTGAGGAAAATCCATACATATTTGTCAAACTTAAGTAGAACTTTTCTTTTCCAAACATTTTTTTTTGTTATAAACTGAGGATATCTAGGTTTTAATTGATTTTCAAGTGACAAGAGTTTCCTGAATGTTGCTTTGGTTTAATGGCACTGAAAGTGAGTGATAATGCTTGTATAATTATAAAATTATGAATAAAGGGACGCATCCTTTGGTCCCACATCTCAGTGGAGGAGTCTTACGTAGACATTGGTCTTTGTTTAACTTCCAACTCAAAAATACACAGGAGATTCTTTGGTGGATTTGTGATCAGAAAGAGTTAGAATTAAATTCATTAGAGTTTGTCTCTGGTTTTTTTTTCCCTGTGAAGATGATTTTTTAAATAGCTGTTTTACTTACCTAAACCTCATTAATAGTCTTCAGTTCATGAACAAGTCAACGCTGTGGCCTCCTTTCAACTCTAACAAAGACATGGGATGTCCTAGATGAAACCTCTGTAGAAATGCAAGAAGAGTCTTGGATCATACATGTGCTAATTCTTCCTTGCAACACATGTTAACAAACATACATGGGATGCCTTTCTTCAAGTTGGTAATACTCAGCACCTGTATCTTTAAGTTAGAAACCTGACAAGTTTTTTGAAGAAATTGATACCATCATCTCCTGTGAAAGAACCATGATGATTGGGGCGCCTGAGTGGCTCAGTTGGTTGGGCGACTGCCTTCGGCTCCGGTCATGATCCCAGGGTCCTGGGATCGAGCCCCACATCGGGCTCCCTGCTCGGCCAGAAGCCTGTTTCTCCCTCTCCACTCCCCCTGCTTGTGTTCCCTCTCATGCTGTCTCTCTCTCTCTCTCTCTCTCTGTCAATTAAATAAATAAATAAAACCTTCAAAAAAAAAAAAAAGAACTATGATGATTGAGTTGAGTACAAGCCTCCAAAATGTGTTTTGTAAGTTTCGTTTGGGTGTCCTTCAAATCAAACATGGTACCCATTAGTCTACTGCAGGTTTTAACTTGTGTTGTCAGTTTCCCTGCTGACACACATTATCATGCCACTGTCAAAGGAAGTGGGTGTGTATATTCATAAGTGTTGTGGTTCAAAAAGTATTTTAAAGAAATAATATTAATAAAGAAATTTTAATTATAAAATAATAATGTGTCTCATGCAGAGCAAGGCATTACTGTCTCCTTTTGCTTTTGTGCTTGTGTAATACAGGGTGCATTTTGTGTAATTATGTACCGAAGTTAGACAGTGGGGTGAGTCCTTGGGAAAAAACAGTGTGTACAGGATTTGTTATTATGTATAAATTCTACTTCACTAAGCAAAGAATTACAAACCTTGCTTAGGATTTATTGAAAGACTCTGTAATTTATCTTTCTGGCCTTCCTTTAGAAGATGTGTGATGGTGAATAGATTAGTGGCATTCTAGTGCTGATGTTTTTTATCATGTAGTCACTGCATATTATTGATTATAAGCTATATTTTTCAAACTTTGGCTGTTCATGAATCACCTTTATGGTTTTGTCCATATCTGAACATATTATCTATTATTTATGTGAAATATTCTTTAAAATAACTTATTTTTTAACTTAAGTTTTCAAAAGGAAACTCTAATCACTGCTGTTACTATTATTTACTCAGTTAATTACTTTTTATTATATATAGCTGCCTTTTAAAATTTTAAAAAGTCGCTTTAAAAATGTATTGCTTTTTCACTTAATTTTAAAAGTAAACCTTATGTTACTACCATAACTTAGTAGCTAGATTTTTTTAGTCCACATTAAAAATATACACACTTATTAAAATAAAATAATAAAATGTAAAAATCCCTCCAGGTACTGCTCAGAATCACTTAGCGTACTGAGTCAAATGTTGGGAAAAGTGGCTAAAAGTAAAATGGACATTTCTTAAGAGAGTGGTCACCGTGCCACGACTGACACAGTTTTCTGTTAAAACTTGGCAAGGGTTTGCTCCCGCCCCACATGACCCTGAGAGTCAAGCCTGCCATTCAGTTAAAGAGGCGCCACGTGGTGTTCACCATCCTCCTTCTTTTAATAGTGCCCTGGTCCCCTCTTATGGAGTCCCCTTATTAAGGAAAGGTGACCTTGACTTTGTAGGCATGTAGGGGTGATGGCAATAATGAATTTTTTATTTTCTCTGAAGCTAACTCTAAATTGGATTCAGCATTATATAAAAAGGTGACCAATTGAATTTCAACTGTAATGAGGATGAAGTTTTGCTATTCAGTACGGGCCGGCTTTGTGTTTAGCCCTAGTAGTAGGTTCTTTGCAACTAAACAATGCGGCTTTCCTCCTGACTTCTGAAATCACCATGTCTAGCTGGGTAGGAACAACATCTCTTGCAGTCTATTCCAGAAATGAAATACAGTGTGTTCTGGTTTTCTAGTTAAAAAAAAAATTTTTTTTTAATGTGCTGAGAGATTCGAATGTGAAGTCTTGAAAAAAAAAACACAAAGTATTCTTTCTAAAACATGCAAATTTGTCTCTCCATCACCTAGGAAACTATTATGGAACACCCAAACCTCCTAGCCAGCCAGTCAGTGGGAAAGTGATCACGACGGATGCCTTGCAAAGCCTTCAGTCTGGCTCCAAGCAGTCAACCCCAAAGCGAACCAAGTCCTACAATGATATGCAAAATGCTGGCATAGTCCATGCAGAGAATGAGGAGGAGGAGGATGTTCCTGAAATGAACAGTAGCTTCACAGGTAAGGACCAGAGCACCTTCCCCCTCGACGGACTCGGGGATAGGGGTAGCGCGAGGCTTTTGCAGAGAGTGAAGAGGTGTCTATTCTCAAGAACTATTCGGAAGGGTTGACACAATTCAAACTGACCACTCAAGGCTTGGGGAAGAGGTGGTCTTTTCCCTGATCTATTTTTCATGCTTCTTTGCAGGACTATTTTGACTTCACCCACATATCTTAAAGGGGCTAGAGGGAAATGTCTGTACAAGGGAATCAAGAATAATCAGCATTGTTTCCTTCTCTTCAAAATATGTATTAAGAATATTTGTATTTTCTTCATTTATTTCTTGGTCTTGACACTGCTCCATAATTATGCCTGATGGCTTATAAAGAGAAATATGAGAATTTGTTTAACAGCTTAATATCCATTGATGCTGTATGGAAGGCTAGCAGCATCCTTTTATCTCCTACCTTTGTGAGTAGAGATTATAATGGAACTGTATACTGTGTTCAGTTAACTTGTGCAATTTTTCCATTTGCCCACAAATGGAGAAAGATGGAAAAATAATAAATACTTGATTATTATATCTTACATATGTATTCTATATTGTATATCATACATTACTCATTGCATTATACACTTATTTTTTTTTAAGGATTTTATTTATTTATTTGACAGAGAGAGAGACAGTGAGAGAGGGAACACAGGCAGGGGGAGTGGGAGAGGGCGAAGCTTAGGTATACTGTATTTTATGAGGACAGTGCCTCTGGGTGAGACTATTGCAGGCTGAGTCTTGCACAATTCTTAGGGGCACCGTTCACAGAGGTTATGATATATATTTCTTGAGTTAGTGTAGTAACCCAGAACTGTTCAAAAATATTTTTCACTTTATAGTAACTCAAGATGTAGCAACTGTATATAAGACATGAGTCACTCCAGTTTGTAATATAGTGACCTTGAAGAAAGTTTGTTTCTCCTATTTTTCCTCTGCTTAAGTAATTTCTTCAATATTTTAGAGTATCGTTATGGAGTAGTTATGTATTTGCAGCAAATGAGATCTAACCCCTCCTCGTGACTGTTCCTGACATCACCACACTTCAGTCATTACTTGATTAGACTCCTTTCCAATAGAGGGGAAATTAGTTAAACTCTGTATTGAGTTAGCAAATCTAATAGAATATTTAGGAAAATGATTTATTAGTTGAATGCTTTCTAGAGCCCGTATAGCTCTCTCTGAAGTTCTCTAACTCATTAAGCCCAGAAGCCTAAAATTCTTCAAGATGACAATTAAAATAATTTTTGATGGTTTTATTGTCATAACAGTAACCCACCCCTTCTGCAAGAAGTATTGGATAAAGAAGAGGAGACCTAGTTTGTTATTCTAGCTTCTTGGTTCTCAGTAGTTGTCTTATTATGAACATAATATCTAACTTCTCTCGTGTAAAATGGCTAAGGTTAAATCATATCTAAGCTCCCCCTTCCAGCTCCAAGAACTTGATTCCACGAAAATTTCCATTTTCCAATTAGAATGGTTAGGCCAGGGGCTGACCTGTAGTTCTAATAGCTAGGAGAAATTTACCATCTTTTACATATGCATTTATTGAAAGCACCTCATTTCATTTACTTAGAAATACTTGATTCATGTATAGTAGTCCTCGCTGATATGAAAGCAAATTATGAAAAAAAAGTTAATATTTAAAAAAGTAGCTAACATTATAATGTCTTGATCTTTCAACAAATAAGGATAACAAATCATAATATAACCCAAAACATAGTTGTGGGCAGCGAAGTAAGACCTTCAGAGCGATGTGCACTGAATAGTTCTGCCACGAGGACTGGATGGTCCCCAAGAAATGTGTGTGCCCTTATTTCTCCTCTATTTATGAGGTAGATTTCTTGGTATAAAGCAAGAATAAAGTAGGAATTGTTGACTATAGGTTTTAATGCTCTTCCTGTTTCTAGCTGCTATAAATCTTTGTCTCTAAAAGCCACGCCTCAGAAATTCTGACCCCACTGAATACTCCCTTGAAATCCTGGCATCAAAGAAAAACTTTGGGGCCCAGGTTGTCATTGCTGAAATCAGTCTGATCATTTGTTGTGCGCACACCCACACAAAAGCCAAGTGGCACCTTATTGTCTTCCTCAGCTTCCTGTCCTTAACACCAAGAAAAGTCAATAGGATGCAGAGAGAAATGATCTTCAGATATACATGTGATGGGCATCCTCAGTATGTTGAGTAAGTGCCTCCTCATTTACCAAACTACAACCATGACAGCTGACAACCTGTCACCCCCTAACTCATATAAATTCTTTCAAATAATTGACACTACCCAGTCTATGATATGTGGATCAAACTAGCTGTGTCAAAGCATTTTGCTCTCTGAACCACTTTAAGTAGCAATCTACCAGCCACTTGGAGAATAGAGTGACAGTAACATAATGAAGTCTTGGCTCCTGGTTGGAAGAGTTATGATAAAGGAATGAGTTTCATATACAAATAGAGAAACATGGTGGAGCTATTAAAAATATTTACTGGGATATTTTTAATTAACATGCTGTTGCTGCTATCTTAGCTGACTTCTGCTTTGGGTCTTTCGAAGGAGGTATGAAATGTCTAAATAATATGCCTGAATAATATTGGGAATGTCCGCAGGCAAAAGAGCAGGAGACTTGTGGCCAGAAGCATCCTGGGGAGGTGGCCACAATTCCTTCCCATCGTCCATGACTGAGGCAGGACCTGAGCAATGAAAAGTCATCCCAGATACTTCCCACAGAACTGACTGTTGAGCACAAACAACAGGCCAGTCTTCTACAAACTGTGCCTCAATTATGGACCTACAGGAGCCCTTGAGAATGAACACTCTTTATATGTGCTTCATGAAGGTAGAGTTACACTGCTGACCAAAGCACACAGTTACACTAAATAAAAACATTTGTATAAGGACCTTGTTTTAGACAGGTTGGAAAATCTGTAACTAACCATCACAACTAAAAAGTAGCTGGTTTATCCATTAACCCCCTCTAAGAGACATCAAATGTTATTTAATTATGTTTCAAGGCTTTCTTTTTTCCTCCCAGCAGTTCCCCTATTACTGAACATGAGGTTGCTGATGCTTCTCTTCCATTAGTAAGCAATGATAAAACATTGCTTTGGAATGTCAAGAGATGATATTACTTTAAGAGCTAATGTTTCTCAGGGCTATGTGGCAGGCACTTTGCTAAGCTTTTTACACATATACGAGGGAGGTCTAATAGTTTGTCTAAGATCACAAAGCCAGTGAGTGTCAAAGCTGTCATTTCAACCCCAAAAGCTGACTTCAGAGCCCACAAGCTCGTCCAGTGTGCTATTTGTGTTTTAAGTCAAGTTTGTTAGCTCTGTGTGCAGTCAGAGATGCACCTAAATCTAAAAGTAGAGATCATGTAATATAGGCTCCAGAAATGTATTTTTGACAACAGCGTATATTCTCAGCGTCACCTTCAGAAGCCCCCCAGTATGCGTATGTGTATATAAATGTTTGGGACCTTCTTACTTGCTATAAGTGAAAAAGTTATTTATGTTCATTTATGGTTTACAAGTCATTTTCACATGTATCCTATAAACTACCTGGAAATGCTGAGAGCCAAGCAACCTAGGCATTACCTTCCCCATTTTGCAGATGAGAACACTGAGGAACAGTGTGTGTTCCCCCACTAGACAGTGGGAGAACCAGGCTTCCTCGTTCCTCCGTCAGCCTGTGTTCCAATAACCCCTTCTACCTACCCTGTTTGGATCCATTGGCAACCTTTCGTAAGAGAGTGATAGCAGTGCTCCTAAATGTTTGGTAAATCAAATAAAAGATTTTCTAAAATCAGAGCATATGTCGAAGTCAAAGCCATAATTAGGACTATGAATTTGTAAGTCTGTACTTTGTCCCAGCCTCTCATTGTTGGACTTTTCATTTTTTTTGAGAGAATGAGGTTGTTTAAGGTTCTGTTGAACTGGAAAGAAGACACAGAAAGCCAAATACATCAAATTGTTTACATTAAATATCTATAGCTTTTTTTGGTTACTCAGTTAGATTGGAGGAATCCTTTGACAGTGTATACGCATATCAAATCATCATGATGTACACTTTAAATATCTTACAGTTTTGTCAGTTACACCTTAGTGAAGCTAAAAAATTCTTTTGATAAAAAATATCTATAGCTTTTTTATGTCAGTCATACCTCAAAGCATTTTTTTAAGAAGACATGAAAAATATATAAAATAAGAAAATATTTGGATAATTTAAAATAAGGTCCAGTTGCTAGAGGGATTTTCATTTTTCCTTAGGAAGTTACAGTTACTTAGATATTTTGCCATTGCGCTAATATTCCCTTCCCATAGTTGAGGTTCTGGAACCCTGGCAGGGCTTTCTTCTTTTCTTTTTTTTTTTTTTTAACATAAATTATATATACTCCATGTTAAGCTAAATCATTTCATATTTATGTCCCACCTATTGCCACAACCCTTTTCCTGTTACATCCAGTTTCTATTAAAATGGGTTAATCGGGGCGCCTGGGTGGCTCAGTTGGTTAAGCATCTGCCTTTGGCTTAGGTCATGATCCCAGGGTCCTGGGATCAAGCCCTGCATTAGGCTACCTGCTAAGTGGAGAGCCTGCTTCTCTCTCTCCCTCTGCTGCTCCCCCTGCTTGTGCTCTCTCTCTCTCTCAAATAAATAAAATATTTTTTAAAAATAAAATGGGTTAATTAAAATTCTTAGGTAAAGTTATTGAATGTCATCCATTGTCCTGGTACTTCTCTAGCTCTTAAATCGTGTTAAAAGATGATCACTGGCTCTGGTACATTTGCATTTCCAGAAGCAGGTCCCAGTCCCGAGCACACATGATGCCCACGCTGAGTGCCAGGCGCTTTGGCAAGCATTTTATGTGTCCTCAGCCCTTCAGTTCTCATGGCTTGTGCGTCATTCCCATTTTACAGATGAGGAAACAGATGCTCAGAACGGTAATCAGTCTGTTCCGAAGTTACACCGCTAGAAACAGGCAAACCTATGATTTCGTCTGGGGTCTGATGTCACATGCTTCCTTTTCCTGCCGATTTCCTGAGGGCCAGATCTGACCTAGAGACAAAGGTTAATCATAATAATGTTGATGAAGAAACTGATGATGATGGCAGCTAACAAATACTGTTAACTGTGTGCTAAACGCTGTCCTGAGTGCTTTACTCCTGCAGTCCTACCCACAGCCCCGTGGGCTTGCTGTGGTTATCCCCATTTTATAGATGAGGAAGCCAAGGCATACTGAGGTTAAGTAAGTGTGTTGCCCACATTAATAAGGATTAATTCAGGATTCAAAGTCAGGTAGTCTGGCTCCTGAGTCAGTGCTTATAATCAGTCTCTCTCTCTCTCTCTTTTTTTTTTGGTTGTGCCATATTGCCTTTATTTTTTTTTAAAGGAATTGTGATTGAAATATTGGGAGTTTTTGCATAAAAATAGAGATTCCTACCTTGTCTTGAAAAATCAGAGATCTGGACTCACTGAGTCCGCTTTTCCTCAGGATGCTAATTACCTGGCGCTGCGTTCCCTGCTCCACTCAGACAGGTTGTGCTCTCTCCAGACCTATCACTTGTGCCTCGGACCTGGCACGGCAGACCCAGGAGTTTGCCCCATACTCTGGCAGGAGGACAGAAGCCCTCTTAGAAGCTGAAGGTTCTAGTGATCCTTTTGAGAATTCATTATCTCCGTCCTCCAAGTATGATTCTTGTATCTGAATCTCCATCACTGGGTGCTGTCAAGATGCACGTTTTGGAACCTTCTCCCAAACCTATTCTCTGTAGTAGGGAGTCAGAATCAGCATGTTAGCATCTCTCCAGGTGATTGTTATGTCCACTTATAAATGTGAGAAGTGTACATTCTAATAACATCAGAAATGAATATACCTTGGCTCCTAGAGAAGTAAGGGTGACTCTTTGAAATCTTGCCAAGTTTTGAATTTATTTTTTTATTGATCAGTAATTTCAAAATGTTTCTTCCGTGTTGGCCTAATTTCCTTTTTCTCCTTCAGAGTTCTAGTAGTTGCTTTCTTAATCTGCAGTCATGGATACAAATTGTAAAACCAATTCAAATTGGCTTAAGCAAGAATTTAGGGGATCAAGCAGTTGAAGAGGCCAAGAGTACATGGAATCAGTGGCTCATTTAGGGCCATTTGGTGACTTTCTCTACCTTTCCTTTCTGCTTTCCTCTGTGTAGGCTTAATTCTAAGGCAGGTCTTGCCAAGCTGTGTCAAGATAGCCACCAGCACCTACAGCATGAGAATCTCTCAGCTGAACAATTTCAGCATCAAGAGGATAATTCCAGCAGACACTTCTATGCCTGACATTCATTGGTTTGCTTTGGATCATGTGCCTGATCCGATCACAAAGTGAAGAGTGATAATGTGACTTAGAAACACCCCCTGACCTAGGAGTAGGTTTAAGTCAGTCCCCATCTCGACCACCAGGACCTTGAATGGATGGATTTCCAAAGGGAGGTCTGAGAGGGGGTTCTAGGGAAAGATGGGAGAGATGTAAGGCAGCGTCTTCGATGGTGGGGGATTTTTGGTGGAGGTGCCTGTTTAGTAGGCTCAACATGTCCTCCTTCCAAATGTTGAATTACCTTCATTCTCATGTGCATCATTGGGCACTACTCATCAGAGAAAGAGTGGAAAACAGCCTTTTATTATTCCTCAGTCTGCTTTCAGCAATCAGAAATGTCTACAGGAGAATTACTGTGGGAGATAGAAAATAACTACAAGCCCTGATTATTATGTTTTAAAGCCCCATCGAGAATGATGTTTAATATTCTTGTCCTCTATAAGAATTCAGCCAGAATGTCAACAGTGCCATTTGTGGATACTTTGATGACGTCAGCTCTTGATGTTTCTAGTTCATAAGAAGGCAAGGAGATTCACATACTTAGAGTCTTCTCTTAAGACCCAAGTCAAATTAGTCCACCCACATGATCCTGTTCTGGGGGTAACTGTCTTGGTTTTCACAGGAACATTCCCCTCACTTTTCCAAAAGAGGCTTGCATCTGACTCACTGGTGTAACTGTGTCTATATTCTGAAGTTTTGTGTACTTTCCAGTTTGATGTGTCAGCCTTTGATCTTTGCCACTGTCTACCAAAAATGTTTTAAATAATTGATCCAAAAATGGTAAAGATGCCACTGTATCTGTGTCTTCAGCATGGACCTTATTCTTGCTCTCTGATACCCAGTGAGTCATGAAAACAAATCATACCTAATAGCAAGAGTATGGCTGTCTGTGTTTCGATGGCCTTATTAGTACAAGAGACTTGAGGTTTTGAGTCATGAATTTGTTTCTTCTTGGGCATTTCCAAGATTTCAAGCAATGCATTATCTGAGCATGTCTTTCTCTTCTTTCTTTTTAGGTATAATAACTGTGGTATATCACTTTGATGTTTTCTATTGAAAGATCTTCCATCTAAATAAAATGGAATAGAGTTGATGGCCAGCAATTAGGAAAGAGTGAGGGCTTTTGAAAATATAGATGCAGACAGTAGTGGACTCCCTGGTTTGGGATATGATTGATGAGTTTCTTTTCTCTCTCTCTCTAACTCCCCGCAACTTAACAGCCGATTCTGGTGACCAAGAAGAGCACATTCTCCAAGAAGCAGCCCTACCGCCTGTGAATACTAGCATCGCTGCTGCCCCCAACACGGACGCTTCTCAGAAGTTCCCTCAATACCTACCTCTTTGTGCAGAGGATAATTTAGGTCCTCTACCTGAGAACTGGGAGATGGCCTACACCGAAAATGGAGAAGTCTATTTTATAGAGTAAAGTATACCATTCCTCCTCCCTGAACTTCTCTTCCTTTCTCTCTTCCCCCTTCCCGTTCTCTAGGGGCTGCGCTGGTAAATTACATCTAGAAGGACTGGTCACGGGCTCATGGTATCCTTTTATACAATTTAACCAGCTTTGTCCAGAAAAACAGTTAGCGTAGCATCCTAACCATTGAGTCTGAGGAGCTTGAAGAAGCATAAGGTTAATAATTTCCCTATAAAGAGTGGGACACTACATTTTGGTGTATATATAATGGCATAGTATATAAAGAATATATCGAGCCATTAAGAAGAGGTAAATCCTCTGCTTATTTTTTCTTAATTGGGTGGCAGGGTTTTTTGTTTTGTTTTGTTTTGTTTCGTTTTTGTTTTGTTTTTGGTTGTGTTTTCAGAGTTCTTCATACATTCTGGATACAATTCCTCTATCATTTCTGTGGTTTGTGAACATTTTCCCCAAGCCTGAGTTTTCTTTTCATTGCTTGACTGTGTCTTCCAGAGTTCTTAATTTTGAAGAAGTCTGATTTATCAGTGTTTTTCTTTTGTGGGCTGTGCTTTTAGTGTGCTGACTGAGAAATTTTTGCTTAAATCAAAGTTCTAAAGCTGTCATTTTCTGCTATTTTTGTTTTAGAAGTTTTATAGTTTACATTTTACACTTAGGTCTCTGATCCATTTTAAGTTTGTTTTTTTTTTGTTTTTTTTACATGGTGCAAGTACATGGATTAAAATTTGAGAATATGGAAACCACCCCCCCCACCCCCACCCTTATCTGAAGTCTCGCTTTGCATGGTTTTAGTTACTCGTGGTCACTGAGTTCTGGAAACAGATGCTTCTCCTGAGATATTGTCAGATCAGTAGTAGCCTAATGCTACATCACAGGGCTTATGTCAGTCACCTTGCTTCATCTCACCACATAGATATTTTATCACCTCACGCCATTACAAGAAGGGTGAGTAGATGCACTAAGGCATTTTGAGAGAAAGAAAGGACACATTCATATAATTTTTCTTATTGTTTATTGTTATAATTGTTCTCTTTTAGTTACTGTTAGTCTCTTACTGTGCCTAATTTATAAATTAAACTTTATCATAGGTATGTATTATAGGAAAAGAGATGGTATATGTAGGATTCAGTCCAATATACAGTTTTAGGCATCCCCTGGAGGTCTTGGAACTTAGCCCCTGTGGATAAGGGGGGGGGGGATTACTGTACATGGATATGAAAAGTCTTTCAAAATTATAAAACTTATATATACTTATGTGTATATATACATACATATATAATACATATTATTAAAGTTAAACATTTAATAAATAACCTTGACTAAAAATGGGGAAGTATACAGTTGTAACCATTCTAAAAAATCTAAGATAATTTTTTAACGCGTAATAGTCAATTTTTAAAATGCTGCACTTTGGCTCTATTATCAAGATTCTCTGTTAAGATTTACCACAGTTTTATGTACCACTAAAAAAGAAAAACGAAAAGGCCAATTAAACTATAAAATAGATAAAAATATAAGTAAATCTGTTATACTCAAATAGATTGAAGTTGAAGGTCTGCTGTTCAGTGAACAATAACAAGACAAAACTGACAAAGAAAAAAATTAGAGAAGACACAAATTACCAGCATTAGGAATTAAACAGGGAATCACCACAGACCCTGAAGACATTAAAAGGTAATCAGAGAGTGCTGCCAACAAATCTATACACATAAATTTGACAACTTAGATAAAATGGACCAATTTCGTGAGAAGCATGAAGTACCACAACTCATCCAATATGGAGTAGATAATTTAACTAACTCTATAACTATTAAGGAAAATGAATTTGTCATTTAAAAACTCGTGAAAAAGAAATCTCCAGGCCTAGATGGTTTCACTGGAGAACTGCTCGAAGAATTACATTTCTATACAGTCTCCTTCTGAATATAGAAGTAGAGGAACACTTAGCAATTATGTTTATGAAGCTATTGTTACCTTGTTACCAAAAAAACAAGGACAGTCTAAGAAAAAAGAAAACTACAGAGTTGGAGTGCCTGGGTTGCTCAGTAAGTTGAGTATCTGACTTTTGGTTTTGGCTCAGGTCATGATCTTGGGGTCCTGGGATCGAGCCCTGCATTGGACCCCATGCTCATCTTGGAGTCTGCTGGAGATTCCTTCCCTCTGCCTTCCCTGCAGCCACGCACTCTCTCTCTCTCTCTCTCTAAATAAGTAAATAAGTAAATAAATAAAAATCTTTAAAAAAAAAAAAAAGAAAAGAAAAAGAATTATACACCATGACCAAGTGGGAATTATCATGGGGATACAAGATTGGTTCAATATGTGAAAAATTCCTAAAAATAATCTACCATATTAAGATACTAAAGAAAAAAAATCACATGATCGTATTCATCAATGCAGTGTTTGACACAATTCAGCGCTCATTCATTATAAAAATTCTCAGAAAAATAAGAACAGAGGGGAATTTTCTTGACTTGATAATATCTACCAAAAATGTACAACTAACATTATACTTAGTGGTAAAAGACAAAAAAAAAAAAATGCTTTCCCTGCAAGATTAGGGACAAGTCAAGGATGTTCGCTCTCACCACTTTTTTTTTTTTTTTTTTAAGATTTTACTTATTTATTGGCGAGAGTGTGTGAGGGGAAGGACAGAGGGAGCGAGACAAGCAGACTCCTCAATGAGCTTGGAGCCCCACACAGGGCTCAATCTCACAACCCTGAGATCATGACCTGAGCTGAAACCAAGAGTTGGTTGCTTAACGAACTTGAAGAGCCACCTCAGTTCCCACCTCTCTTAATCAACATGATCCTGGAAGTTCTAGCCGGGATAATAAATCAGGAAAGAGAAATAAAAGACCTACAGATTGAAAAAGAAGGAGTAAAACTATCCCTTAATGCAGATTACATGAATGTACACAAGAAATGTACAAAATTACAAAATATGTACAAAAAAAGTTCTAGAATAAGTGAGTTCAGCAAGATCACAAGATATAAGCATGCATGTATATCTTTATGAATATGTGGACAATAAAATTCAAAATAAAATATAATTCACATTTACTTCCAGAAAAACACCAGTTACATGTAAATCTAACAAAACATATACAGGATGTTATATGCTACAAACTACAAAATATTGATGAAAGAAATCAAAGAAGGTCTAAACAAATGGAGAGATGTCCCATATTCATGGATTGAAAGACACAATTGTATAGTAAAGATGTCAGTTCTCCCAAAATGGATATGCAGGTTAAATGCAAATCCTGTCAAAATCTCAGTGAGGTTTTTTGTTAATATAGACAAGTTTATTTTTAAAATTTGTAAGAAAGGCAATAGAACTAGAATAGCTGGAAAAGTTTTTTTGTTTTTTTTTAAACCCACAACCTTGAGATCAAGACCTGAGCTGAGATCAAGAGTCAGACACAACCAACTGAGCCACCGAGGTGCCCCTAGAACAGTTTTGAAAGAGAAGAATAAAGCTAGAGTAATCAGTCTACCAGATATCAAGACTTATTATAGAGCCACAGTAACAAAGGCTGAGTGGTATTGGTGAAGAAATGGGCACGTACATAAATGAAACCCAGAAACAGATCCACAAATGCATCCAAGTGGTATTCAACAAAGATGCCAAAGCAATTCAATGCAGGGAAGATGGCCTTTTCACGGAAGTGGTATTAGATTAAGTGTTTAGCCAGAAGTAAATAAATTAATCTCAACCTCAGCCTCACACCTTATTAAAAAAATTAACTCAGACTAGATCATCACAGACTTAAGTGTAAAATACAAGACAATTAAACTTTTTGGGAAAAAAATTTGGGGGGGGCTCTAGGACTGGACAAGGAGTTAGTTCTTAGACTTGACATCAAAAACGTGAACCCTGATTGACTTATTTCACTTAGCATAATACCCTCTAGTCTCCAGAGTTTGGCTATTGTGGACACTGCTGCTATAAGCATCGGGGTGCAGGTGCCCCTTCGGATCACTACATTTGTATCTTTGGGGTAAATATCAAGTAGGGCAATTGCTGGGTCATATGGTAGCTCTATTTTCAACTTTTTGAGGAACCTCCATACTGTTTTCCAGAGTGGCTGCACCAGCTTGCATTCCCACCAACAGTGTAGGAGGGTTCCCCTTTCTCCGCATCCCTGCCAACATCTGTCATTCCCTGACTTGTTCATTTTAGCCATTCTGACTGGTGTGAGGTGGTATCTCATTGAGGTTTCGATTTGGATTTCCCTGATGCCGAGTGGTGTTGAACACTTTTTCATGTGTCTGTTGGCCATTTGGATGTCTTCTTTACAGAAATGTCTGTTCATATGATCTCACTGATATAAGGAATTTGAGAAACAAGACATAATAGGGGAAGGGAAAAAATGAAACAAGTTGAAAGCGGAGAGGGAGACAAACCATAAGAGACTCTTAATCTCAGGAAACACACTGAGGGTTGCTGGAGTGGAGGGGGGTGGGAGGGATGGGGTGGCTGGGTGACGGACATTGGGGAGGGTATGTGCTATGGTGAGTGCTGTGAATTGTGTAAGACTGATGAATCACAGACCTGTACCCCTGAAACAAATAATACATTATATGTTAATAAAAAGAAAGAAAGAAAGAAAGAAAGAAAGAAAGAAAGAAAGAAAGAAAGAAAGAAAGAAAAGAAAGAAAACAAAACCAAACATGAACCCTAAAAGGAATCACTGAGGGGTGCCTAAGTGGCTCAGTTGTTAAGCGTCTGCCTTCGGCTCAGGTCATGATCCCAGGGTCCTGGGATCCAGCCCCACCTTGGGCTCCTGCTCAGCAAGAAGCCTGCTTCTCCCTCCCCCACTCCCCCTGCTTGTGTTCCCTCTCTCCCTGTCTCTGTCTCTGTCAAATAAATAAATAAAGTCTTAAAAAAATAAAAAAGGAATCATTGATAAATACAATGTCATCAAAATGAAAAACATTTGCTTCAGAAAAGACCCTGATAAGAGGATAAAAAGGCAAACTACAGACTGGGAGCAAGTATTTGCAAACCCCATATCTGAAAATGGATTGATATCTAGAGTATGTAAAGAGCTCTCAAAACTCAACAGTAACATTAAAAAAATTCAATTAGAAAATGAACCACAGACGTTTCACTGAAGAGGATATACAGATGGCAAATAAGCACATGAAAAAATGTTCACCCTCATTAGCCATTAGGGAAATGCAAATTAAAATCACGAAGATATCATTATATGCCTATTAGGATGGCTCAAATTAAAAAAATAGTTAATAACAGTAAATGATGGCAAAGATGAAAAGAAACTAGATCACTCATACATTGCTGGTGAGTATGTAAAATTGTATGGCATTCTAGAAGACAGTTGGGGAGTTTCCTATAAAACTAAACATGCAACTACCATATGACCCAGCAGTTGCACATTTGGCCAGAGAAGTGAACACTTAACATTCACACAAAAACCTGGACATGAATATTTATAGTAGATTTATTCCAAAGAGCCAAAAACTGGAACAACATACATGTCCTTCCGTGGTTAAACTCTGGTACATTCATGCCATGGAATACTACTCAGCAATAAAAGGAATTAATTATCAATATATGTGACAACCTTGATGAGAATTAGCTGAATGAAAAATAGCAATCCCCAAAGAGTACGTATGTATGAGTCCATGGAACATTTTTGCAATGACAAAACCATGGAGAATCATAGATTAGTGGTTGCCAGGGATTTAAAGGGGGCTTGAGGGGGCAGAGACTCAAAGAAAACCAAGTGTGGCTGTAAAAGGGTAACGAGGAAGAATCCTTGTTATGATAGAAATGTTTTCTATCTTGACTGTATGGAGATCGATATCCCAGTTGTGACAATTTACTTTAGTTTTGTAAGATGTTACCATTGGGGGAATCTGAGTAAAGGGCATGTGGGATCACTCTATGTTCTTTCTTATAAATACATGTGAATCTATAATTATCTCAAAATACAAAAGTGTTTTTTAAAAAATCACAAATAATCTTCCTTCCTAGCAATGGCCATTTTTACTATCTTGCTGGTGTAGGAATAGCACAGACCGTGGGTTCTAGTGTTGGACTCCCTGGGTTTGTTGCCAGTGTTGCTAGGTATCAACACACAGTAGCCTTGTACCAATTTTCTCGCCTCTGTCCTCATTTTTCTCATCTGCAAAATGTATTAATACTTATTAATAGTTCCTTCATAGGGTTATCTTAAGGGTTAGTAAATTGTAATATACGTGTAAAAGAACAGATTCTGGTAGTTGTAAGTGACGACAGTTGTTACTATATTACCTTCCATTTGTTTTCTTTTCCTTTTCATACAGTTGAGATGATTTGTATATACATTTGCGTTATTTTTCACTTAAGCCTTAAGTTTTTTCAACAATTAATAAGACTTGAATCTCAAATAACTGTGGCGATGTTTTTCAGCATTTACGACCTAAACTGCAGACTTTCAAAAACAATTGAAGTTACTACCTCAGTTTCCCCCCAAAATTTTTTTTCATTTCTTGTTTTCATTTCTGGTTTGCAGCGTGAACTGCTGGCCTTGTACTTCATTGCCCCTCCCATTGAGCTTGCCATAGTGTGGCCCAGGAGCTCACGCAGAACTTTGTCCCGGGGTCCTGAGCTGCTTCCGGGCAGTTCCTCCAGACATTCTCATGATGCTTCTAACATGGTTGCAGGGCAGTAATCAGGAATATTACTGTACACTCTCAGACCTTCAAGGCCTCGCTCATTGTCTGTTGAAACACTTCATCTGGAGTCGGGCTGTGCCCTCCAGAAGGCAGACATGTTTAGCTTCTTCAAGCTTTGTGGGGTTTTTTTGGCCCGGGTTCTGTTTATGGTAGGTAACTCCGGGTTGCCTTCACTTTGTGTGCAATGAAATTCAGGATGCTGTGATTAATGATAGGTATTAGCCGCTGTGAGCCAATTGCTTGAACTGAGGTAGTTTCACAGTGTCAGGGGAAATCTTATGTAATATAATGAGTGAAATAGCAGCCTTCTTTGTGAATTCCAGCATCCAAGGTTTAAGTCAGAGGCAAATTTAAAGCAAATTGGAGTTTGCTTTTCTGCAAAAGTGAAGACTAATATAAGTCTAGACAAGGGGAGACAGTATGGACAAGGGGTATCATTTGGAACTCATTTTTCAAAAATAAAACTGGCATCACATGTTAAGCTTTCCGTAATGGAATGATTATACCTTAGATAAGTAAAAAGTCTACCTAAGGCCCTTTCCAAGCCTTTTCAGATTCCAAACTTGGGCTCTCTTCTGGGTTGGGTTTGCTGTTGGAAAGTAGCTTTGCTCTGGTTGAGGGGAAATGTTCAAGAGCGTGTAATTCTTTTGTCATTGAGGTTTTTGCTTTTTTTTTTTTCCTTTTCAAATGTATTTTTTGTTTTTGTTTCTTGATTTCAGCCATAACACAAAGACAACATCTTGGTTAGACCCTCGGTGCCTGAACAAGCAGCAGAAGCCTCTGGAAGAGTGTGAAGATGATGGTAAGGGGCTAGGAAGGTCTTGGTTTAAGTGAGCTGGGGGCTTGTTCACATGTGCAAGTTTTAAGGAGTTATATAGCAAGGTCAATCAGGTTTTAACAAGTGAGTTTTTAAAAGGTCATCCAATTTCTAGAAAGTGACCTGCAGTTTCCAAAAGCAGTAGGGGAATCAGAATTGTTTTAAAAGCGCAGTTTGTTTACACATAAAGGCAGATGCATGCCAGTATCTCCATTAGAAACAGAACTTTAAGACAGACTATTTCAGTGAAGATAAAACCTCTGCCTTCCTTCAGGACCTTGGAGAAAACTCAAGAAAATCTCTAGGAATATAGAAACCAAAGTTGCTCTGGATACTTACCTATTGGATCCTAATCCTATATTATAAAAGTCTTAAAGGAAAAAATTAAGAGCGTCTCTTAAATTCTACATGTTCATAACTTGACAAAGGGAAAGCAGATCCTGACTTCTTAGGATATATCGTCATTATCTGAAAAGTACATTCTTCTAAGAAAGGGCCTGAGGTGTTACCCTTAGCCCGACTCTTCTTATTAATCTCGAAAAAGAATCAATTGGTATTCTGAAAAGTTTATTTCAAAGTTTTGGGATTTCTAATTACTTTTCCAAAATGAAAAAAAAAATTAGAACAAATGTGTGCCTTTTCAGTACACCAAAGTCTATCCCAAGTTCTACCAGAATTACTTTTTTGACATGGACGAATTAAAAGGGAAATGGCTTGTTTTGCTACTCATTTTTCATCTCTGGCATTTGAATTAGTGGTATAATTATGGAGTACGTATTTTACTGTAAGATAATGAAACTTTATTAATTTGTCCTATGACACAGAATTGTTGTATATATATATAAACTTGAGGTTTGTCTGAAAACGTAAGCCAGGAAAGCGTAATACTGCCAAAACTCCTAGATCCTTCTGCTCTACACGGATTGCAGATACCATGAAATGAGCATAAAATTGGGTGTTCATATTTATCTATAGAGTGACTCCAAATGGAAATACAAATCCTTCTGACTAAGGAGGCATGACTGAGATGCTCATTTTATTTTGGTTGCTTAGTCCCGTTCCTGAAGAAGGAATGGAACGTGTGTGGTCAGCTTCATTATTTGCATGCTTCAGGGCTAAGGAACTGTCTGGATTATTCAAATATTATGTTTCATATATAATATAAAAGTGACCAATTTTCAAAGATCAGAACATAAAATACATTCAACCATAAAATTTCAGGGACCAAAATTTAATCTTTATTTGATGCTTGATGATTGTGAAGGCATTTTCAACTTCTTATTACCATAGGAGAGCTTCAGGGTCGATTTCCATTATAATTATACTGGGAACATACGAAAATACCTGTTAATATAGTTTATAGATGATAGAAGACTCCAGTAGCTTTTACCAAGAGACACTTAATGGAGTAGAAGTGTTGAGTAGAATTGCTGAATTATTTTGTGACCAAATCTAGTACAGTTGACCCTTGAACAACATAGGTTTGGACCGCACTGGTCCACTTTTGTGCGGATTTTTTCCCATAAATGTATTAGAAAAAGTTTTGGAGATTTCTGACAATTTGAAGAACCTGCAAATGAATCTTCGGGCTTTGAAGTACCAAAAATATTAAGAAAAGATTAAGTATTATTGTAAGAATATAGTATATAATACTTAGAATGTACAAAAGAAGTGTTAATCGAATATATTATTGGTAAGGTTTTCAACAGTGGACTACTTGTAGTTAAATTTTGGGGAAGTCAAAAGTTACACACAGATTGTTGACTGAGGAGAGTCAATACCCCCTAACCCCTGTGTTTTTTTGTTTTTTGTTTTTTAAACCCCTGTGTTGTTTAAGGGTCAACTGTTATTTTTAATTCTTAGAATTTTTGTCATTGGTGTTAATGATATTATCTCTGGAACAAGTATGTATTCATACCAAATACCATTAGTTTATGAATTATCCTTTCAACATTAGGATTCACAGAACCTTTTTCTAGTAGAAATTATATGCATGTCTGTGTGCCTGTATACACAAACAGTATAAATATATAACCAAATGTTACCACCCTGTCATTTATCAGTTCCAACACCTGCATTTTCTGTTGCCTGTTAACACAAATCTGCCTTGTGTTGTTTATGTCACGACACAAAGAAGAATAACGTTGTTGGTCACAGTATTCCTCCTGTATTTCTTTCTGTTCTCTGGAAGTCATACACACATGGAATGTAACAATACAGCATCATACTTATTGTAAAAATTTTATATATTGTTTCCTAACTCAAAAAAGTGATGAACTGGTTTGGGATTTTGATCCTCAGTGTATAACTCCTTTTGTTGTTTCTGTGTATCGAGTTGAATTAGAAGCCTTTCACCTTGCCTCTGAGCTCCAGGCCAATACTTGAATCTGCCTGGTTGATAATGCTCTTTGTCTGAAAGAGACTTCAAACTAGTCTCCATAAAACCCAACTAATGATCTCTTCCCCACCCCCAAACCTGGTCCTCTGTAAGTGTTCCCTATCTCGGTCGAGAGTAAAATTCATGCATACCTAACAGTCCCCCTTGACCTACTACTTCTCTTGACATTCATTTCAACCCATCTACCCTCTGATTTTACTTTGCCTCCCAGATATCTCTGGAATCCATTCACTATTTTCTTCACCACCTGTAGCATCCTAATTCAGGCCACACTCATCTCTCACCCAAACTCTCCCACTCTCCTTACACTGTACCCAGAGCAGTCTTTTAAAATGTCAGTGTGATTGTGTTATCATGGACCACCCCCTCAAGCCCTATTCACTGGTTCTCTGCACCATAAATTCTCAGCCTTCCCCATAGCTGGTCCCCAAGCCCTAAGTGGTTTGACCTCTGGCTTTTCTCACGCTTATTCCTCTCCGCTCTGCCCTTCATCCCTACTAGTTCTCTCTTAGAATATTCTTACACTTCACAAACAGTTATTGATTGCCTTCTATATTTCACGTGTGTCCTAAGAACTTCAGATGTATCAATGAACACAACAGTCAAAATGCCCTGCTGTCAGAAAGCTCAAATTTCAGTCATTCATCACTGTAAGTCTTTTTGTTAAATTGTTCATACCCTTCAGGTTATAGCTCAGGGACTGTTTCCTTGACCTTGCCCCCAGATATGAGGTCACTCTGTGATGTGTGTTACCTTAGAGAAATAATCACAATTTTAACTTTAGTTTTATTTATGGGAGTTTGGGATTTGTCTCCTCCTCCAAAAGGATATTTGATCTGTCCCTTTGCACAGTGACTGGCCCATAGTAGGTCTCTCTCATTAAATGCTTATCAGAGAAATGAATGAATGCACCCCCAAAGACATTAGATAATATTTAAATGGGCATTTTCTTGAAAGATTTTATGTAAAAAGGATTCCATTTTTCAGAGACAATGCCAACACCAAAACTTATTGTTGGCAATTGAATCACTTTTAAGTCAAGACTTTACAAGGCGTATAGTGCCTTGTTGATTACTGAAGTCAGTAATGGAGACATCCATCCATCCATCCATCCATCCATCCATTTTGAAATATTTAGTACTTACCATGTACCAAAAACTCCTGGGCACTGAGCATTTTGCAGTGGTGAAAACGATTTTATTCCCATGTTTGTGGAGCCTACAGTACACAGGGAACAGCCACTTGCTCTGTAGCTGGAGAGACTTTATGCATGAAATGATTGTTGTGTGCTGTTCTGTGTTCTCAGTTATCATACAGCATTTTACTTACAGCAGGAGGAGGTCGAGGATGGAAAGGATCTGGACTGGTTTTGCCCCCTGACTTACTGAGAACATTTTCATTCTAATATTTCTGAGCTGTTTGACTTAGAAATCCTATACAAACTAAATGATGCCTTCCCACACTCATTTCAGGGCAGCCTTCAAGTCTGCTTTCCCAGCGTGCAACATCCTGACATAATTCCTCTCTAACTCCCTCTGTAAGACGCTGTTAAGTGTAGTGCATTTTACAATCTGCATTCTCAATTTGACCTCACCTTCCGTTTTTCAGGCAGCAGTATACTTCTAGGTTAAGTAATGCTTTAATTGTGAGTATAATTGCCTCACTGATTAGAGGATTATTGCAGGACTAAAAGGTCTAATATTGAAAGGTGCAACAGCTTTGTTTGCCTGAAATAAGGTCTATAATAAGTGACTTCCCACTTTAAGAGCATTGAAACCGCGACGGTATTTGTCATCTTCTACCACCAATCAAACCCCATTCTGACACGCAAGGAAATGAGCCATATAATTATGTTGTCAATATCAGCTCTTACCGTTTTGTAATTTACACTGAGGTCTCCGGTTTACTAGCCAAGCCAATGAGATAGGCCACAATGCAGGTAAGGACAAAACGGCGTGATGTGTTTGCTGCTGTTTTTCTGAGGGGAGTTTTCTTTCTTGGTGTTGGTGTCTGAATTTTTCTTTCTCTCTTTTCTGTCTCATTCCCGCTATTCCTTTGGAGAAGAAGGGGTCCACACCGAGGAGCTGGACAGTGAACTAGGTAAACCCTCCCAGCCTGCTGCCGATGCATGACTTGCCCTGAATGCTTTTTGTTTCCAGCGAATTGCTTATTCCTTCAGTTTCTTTAGTTTGCACTTCTTCAATGATGATTTTCATTCCAGCTTATCCATGAAAGGTCAATCTTACAATCCTAATGTCTGACTTGCCGGCATCATGCAGAGTTGTAATAAGTTGGGTCTACAAAGAAAATGAGTGCATCAAGACTAGAACGAGAGTTAGCAAATTGGTGCTAGGTACTCTTGGGAACTGAGGATTAAGAAGAGCCTTGAGAGGGTAGATGCTTGCTGTGTGCCTTCATCTCTGGTATGACCTACCTCCGCCTCATTTCTTTGTTTGGTGCAGGTGGTTATCTCCATGGGCCGTGCAGAAAAGCAAAGCAAAGCAGAACTAAAAAACCACCAAACGCACTAAGGATCTTTGTAGGAGTAATAGCAATACAGTAATTCTCCTGATCAACTGAATAGTTAATAAGTCTTAGTCTTGGGTTTTTAAGTCACGAGCCTCGTGGTGACTTTGTAGATGTAGTGAATGGCTTGAAAACCAGATACTGAGCTTCTATGTGACATTTTCCTTAGAGTGTGTGTATCCACGTAAATCAAGTCTCGACTAGTCTGGCTGTTGCAGTTAGAAATAATTTACATTTGCAGATAATGCCAAATGCTTTTGTCTTTGCTGTTGGAATATGTTGAATTATGTTCTATGCTAAGTTTTATGTTCAGCTTTGAACAATATTAAAATTAGTTTGCGTTCCATCTGATGCATATACTGAAGGATAGACTGGAAAGCCCAGGTTTTCAAGCTAAATTGCACATAAAAGCCTTGGCTTATTGAACATTGACCATCATGTATTTTTGAGATAGAAGATTGTTTAACATCAATATGAAAAGAACTATCCTGAGATTATTGAATCAGCCTAACATTTTTGAGATTGCCTTAAGAACTAAAAACATAAATACAGATTACTGTTTTCATGTGATTTTGTTTGTGTTTGTTATATAATAATCAATCATGGTTGACTGGAGTTATGATATAATGGAATTTAGCTCTGTTTTTCTTAATGTTGGGAACATATCCTGTTGTAACTGATAGATACGCTGGCATTGATCAGTAACTATTGAATGGAGCTTGTTTTTAAAAGATATTTAATAAGTTCTCCTTGTCATTGTGGTAAGAAGGACTTGAGATTCACCCTGTGATCTAGAACAATTTGAAATTTGTTTTATCAAAAAAATTAATTGGTAATATTAAAGTAGTTGAAAAAGACAACTAGTTTTTGAGACACACGATGAGTGCCTTAACCATTTGCTGAACCAATTTAAATCACTCTTGCTAGGTGATTGATATCCACTGTTATCTGTGGATGGCTGGTAGAGATAATATAGCTGTGCACAGAGGCATATTTGCTTCTATGGAAGTTTAAATGTTGACATTTTTAGGAAAAAATTTTCTGTATTTTTCCCCTTGTAACTATAATATTGTGGGAACTTTCCTATGCTGTTGAAGATTGAAAAAAATAAGCGTTAATGACTGCATGTATTATTTCTCATGGTCATAGTGGTAATCCTGGGAGTTAGTTTGGTGACATAGCAGAACTGTCTTTGGGGGCAAATCGGGCTGCCTTGCTTCTTGTCCGTTCTCCCGGGTTTACTGGCTTTGTGACTTGGGCAAGTCACTCAACTTCTCTTAGCTTTCCTTTCCTTATCTGTCAAGAGAGGCTGAAAGAGGAGCTCCCATAGTGTTTGTGAGGAAACAATGAAAATGTGTCTTAATATTTGTCCCTGTGATCAGCATATATTGTTGTTTCTAGTAGCTTTATTATTTAATAACTAATTCCATCTTGTTGGACTTTTTAATACTCTGTGGTACTTTTTGCCTTTAATATGGGTCAGGAGAAGAATGTGTATGTGGGTGGAGTGACCCAAATGTGTCCTTGTGGGTAGAGACAGGACTCTTGATTTTTGCCTGCACATATTCACTGTGTAAAGAGTAATGTGTGTACACACACACACACACACACACACACACGGTTTTTTCTTGCATTCATAGATTTTATTGACAAGCTTACTGCCCGTTTTCTTAATAAGAGGGTCCTAATTATAGCAACTGTCAGATTTTCAGAGAACAATGAGATTCCAGATGTGACAAGGAAACCCTGTCTGAGAGGTGGGGGTGGTTGGCTTAGGTGTTGGACACAGATCATTTGATTATAGAGTTGTCATTTCTGAACGCTGTTGTTTGAGCTGGGTCAGTAGCTTCATTATGCACTTTTGGTTTGCAGAATTTATCACATGTTCTGCAGACATCTTCCCAGAATTGAAAAGTACTCCCTTTTGGAATTATAGGGTATTTAGGGGCTAACACCAACTCGGAGAGGTAGAGACAAGGAAAATGAGGTTCCATCCCCACCAAGGCTAAGTCACAGTTTTGAAATCTATCTGTGATTGTGAACATGACTTTCAATCTATGTGCTGACATATCTCTTATGAAAAGAACGTAGCACATGTGACTGCTTCATATTTGCTTCTGTGGTAACAGGTAGTACAGGATGAGATTCCTAAAGGCAGGGCTAGCTAGCATGCAGGCCATATAAATCTGTTTTGTTCCTTTCCTCCTTTCTTAGAACATTGCCATTTGTTGAGCCTACATGCCAGGTACTGTGCAAAATGTCTTACAGGCATCCTCATTTAATCCATAGTTGACCCTTCAAGTAAATCCCAGTGAAAGATGTAGTTGCAAGATACTCAGTAACTAGTCTAATATCAGATCTATGAAGTGGTAGAGCGAAGGTTCAGTCCCCAGTCTGGGCAACCCCAAAAGGGTCTTAGCCACCTAAAATAGCTGTGACAGGTAGTATATTCTGGTCTGATGTCCAGCAGCTGTTAGACTTAGGGGCTGGCCCTTCAGGCGACAGCAAAGTGTTTAGTAAAAAAAAAAAAATTGTGATGTCATTATTTTCTGGGCTTTGGCATTTTCTGTCATTCTCAGTTTTTTAGAACCAGAAGACAAATTCGAGGACAAACATCTTCCTTTTTTAAATCGATGACCCATTTCTATTTTAAGCATTAGGAGACTAATTCCTATTATTAAGTTAATCACCACATTGGAAGTGAGAAATCTATCTTTTCAACTGAAAATGAGTTTTAGCTTGGAAAACTGGAAAATTTCTGGAGTTTGCTAATCTGTTCCAGAAGATATGTGTAAATTTGCAAGTGTCCAGGAATAGCAGTTGATCTGCCGCATTTCTCAACTCTAGAGTATAAAGGTCAGAGGTGGCTTCTTTTTTTGTACCCTCTTCAGACCTCTATCAAAGCACTAACTGTATAGTGTTTGAATTGTCTGCTTAATTGTGCACTTGTAATTATCTTTGTGTTCCGGGTGCCAACCACACCCTCAAGCAGACAATAGACCCTCTCTAAATGTTGACAAATTAATAATTGAATGAGTTAACATACAGTGTTCTATTAGTTTCAGGTGTACAATATAGTGATTCAGCAATTCTGTGTATCACTGGTGCTCATTTTAAGTGTACAGATGAATTAAATTCTTAATATTTCCCGTTTTATCTAAAGCTAGGCCAAATATTCAAGGTTGCACATTTTGGAAAAGATCTGGTTCAGTGAAACATAGAGCGGGCCCCTCACATTTACCCACTCCTGCCCCATGCCTGAACAAGCATGTGGACTGTGCCCCAATTTGCATTTTTTTAATCTTCGATTTCTCAACTCCTTGGAAATATTTTCCTGGTTCATTTTCATTTAAATGGTAATTTCCAGCTTTGTGAGGGGAAACCATTTCCCAGGCATTTGATTTGCATCAGGTCGTATGGCTTGGTGGATAAAAATGCCAAGTTGTATCAACATCTGCAGCTTGGACCTGTCTTGCATTTTAGTAGCTCATGTCTCCTGGAATTCAAACACTTCTTTAAAACCTGCTAAGTGTTTTAAAAAAATTAGAAGGAAAGGGGGAAAACCTGTCTCTTTGTTTGCAAATAAATAACATGTGGAGCAAAACCCATGAAATTAATGTCTCTTGATATGCAGCCAAATCTGAGCAAAACATAAACTTTGAGTAATTAGTGTGTGTGTGTGTTTCGGTGCACGCGCATGACTCCGTTTCAGTGCGGGACTGTTTGTGGCATGTGTAAGCTTATGCCTTGATGAGAGAGTCATTCTTTGGAAATAGTGACCATAGGAGTCCTTGAGTTAAAAAAAAAAAGAATCTAGTATTTCAAAATAAGTGATATTTCAAGTGTTTGTAATAGTCTGTTCATGTTGGTCTTAGTAGCCGACTTCTAGGAAGAATGATTCACTTTGGAGTATGGCATTATACAGGCTTGCCGCAACCATGTGTATATCCGAGTGGCTTTGAAATTAAGTTGAGTAATTGCTGCTCTGCTTGAAAGAATTGCTTAGTGACACAAAGCACAACCTGGTTGTTTCTTTCACCAAGTCAAATTATCTGGTGCAATGGGCTTTTTCATAATAGATTCTTGCTGTGGCAGAAGTCACTATTAGCTAGTTAATAAAGTTCCAGCCTTCGTAGGAAACCTTACGAAGTGAAGTCCAGGAGAGCACGGGTGAGTTTTCAGAAAGGTACGGAAATCCCGAAATGCCGTTTTACATGACCACGAGAAAGGAATAAAATCTTCTCCCTTAACTAGTGAGTTCTCAGAGGGCAGGACCTGTGTTTCTGCTTTCGCAAGCAAAGTGGTGCCGAAGGGGGTCTGTTTGAATATAGCACCTGAGTGACAGATGCCTGCAATTTGAAAGCCCAACTCCATCTTTTACTTACTTGGCAGCATTTTAATTAGAAACAAGGAGGAAATAAGATGCAAATTTTATTTTATTCCAGGGAGAGCAAAAACACCACTATTGTATTGAAAATGAAAAGAAACATTAATTTTCATCCATTTTTGTTTGTGTGGTAAGGTAGTCTAGAAATACAATGGGAAAATTGTAAATATATAAGGTATAAACTAGGCATTCAAGGCAAATTTTAACTGTATTTCCATTAAAATCTAATTTAATAGTTGAATCAGAGCAAAGGCTTCTGGGACTACATTTTATTAAGTTTTATTAGCTTGTGCAAAATATCAGTAAAGAATTGTTCCTCATGTAGAAAAATACACTGATAAATATAAGACTGCCTTCTAGTTTGTTGTTGTTAGGATACACAGTTTTCATTGGACTTAAGGCATTTTTATGAGTCTTTCTCTTTTTGCCTCACTCGGTTGTTGAAAATCCTTAAGCTCTTAAAGAATATGCTCTTCTTGCTCTAAATGTTCTTTTATTTTTCAGAACTGCCTGCTGGTTGGGAAAAGATTGAAGACCCTGTCTATGGTATCTACTATGTAGAGTAAGTGCCTATTAATCTCTATTTTAGTTTATACTCCTCTATAATTAGGTACATTTATGCTGATCAGAGTTTGTCATCATTATACGGTCCAAACTGATACTAATAACAATAACATAATAAATTTATAATGACAATATATATGCATATTTTAGTGAATGAGAAAATATTCAGCAAATCTGAAGACAGTAAATTATATTCTAAAATTCATGAGGGCAAGATCTATGTCTTTTGTTTACCACTGTCTTACCAGGACCCAACACAGTGCTGGCATATGGCAGCTACTCACTAAATATTAGTTGAATGAATGAATGAATAAGAAAAGCAAACCAGATGAGTAGGTGTTATCTTCTGAAGAAGAACCTGTTTGCCTACTTTTTGCCCCACCCAGGTCTGAACTTTTCAGTAATTGCTTATTTATTCATTCAGACTTTCTAAAAGGGCCAGACACATCTTATGTATGTATGAAATGTATGAAATGTCACCAGGATTAAGAAGGTAATTCAGAACTGGCCCAAGCTGCAAGACCTTGTATGCTTCTTTGCTTCTCCCTTGCCTGAGGACCATCTCCATAGCTCCTGCTTTCCATTTTTAAGACTCTTAAGCCCTCCTCATGACCTCCATAGTATGTACCTTATTCTAGCACTGGCCACACACTTTGTCCATTCATTAGAACCATCTATTGTTAGGATGATCCTGAAAGAAAAGAAACCTGAGAAATTGGACATTGAAGCAGATATGCTCTGTATCACTTCCTCCGAGAAAGATGAGAAATAACTAATAAAAAAATCCTTTGAAAGAAACAAATGCTATATAAATATTCTATCATCATAATCCTACCTGGTGCAATGAAGATAACTAACCAGCTTTCTATCCCTCATGCTGCTAGCAATGAAAAGTCATCTGCATCATGCCCTGGCAATAAGAGCATATGATAGAAATTGTAGAATGCTCAGCATCGTATTATAAAAAATTATGAGCTTAATATAGCCAGTGTCATTGGCCAGTACTCACATTGCTACGGCTGTACCTAACAAGAAGGATTTGGTGATTTGGGACTTTAGAAAAGCAAGCTCCGTTCCTTCTCTGATACTCAGAAAATAAAATTCCATCGTGTGCTCTGCAGATCATCTTTCTTTCAGATGTTTAATGGGGTTTCTGTCTATTCGGGGTTCATTTGGAGTTCTCCCTCAACTAATTTGTGCATTAAGAGAGAAAGGGAAGAGGCAGTAACAGCTTTATAGGATAAAGAGACCTGGATTGAGGGGAGAGTTGTTACCTTCCTATCCGGTCTTCCTCCTTGTGTCTTAGCAGCTCCACCTGCCTGCTATGGTAGACCGTTTCCTAGCATGAAATTGCCTACAAGAATTAGCAAATAAGCAACCAGTCCTAGGAATGAAAGGTAATTAGTCTCTCCACCCTATTTGACAAGCCTGCCTTTAAGAAATATTTTGAGTTCTGAATACTGTAATCACATAATAGGTATGTTCCCGAACCTCTAATGAAGTATGATTTTGGTGGAAAAAAGAAAGAATGTATGTATGCTTGCATGTATATGTTTGTGTAATACATGTGTATATACACTAAGGTCATGGCAAAAAAAAACCATGTATGTACATGTATTCATATGTACGTGTGTGTGTGTGTGTGCATTTTTGTTTGGCTGTGGCCTTACTAGTTTTGGAGCTATCTGAAGTATCTGGGTCTTTGTCACTTTGAACACATCACATTTGCTTAGGTTTGCTGCATCTGGAGTTTTTTTGCCTGAGGCTTAGACTTTTATTCCTGGCTCCATGTCAGTTGATCAAAATAGTTGACAGATGTTGGTAGAGCCCTTCTTTGAACTTCGGGTGAGTGCTTCTGCCCCTGTAAACTGCGGTAGGAAGTCACAGAGCACTCTGGCATTGCGTGTTACACACAACATTGTATCTCCGCTTTAATCTCATTGTTTTTTAATCATTCTAACAATCTACTCTCTGTTGAATTAAAGCACCTCTCCCTGTAGGGTGCTTCCTTGGACATTTGGAAGAGTCAGTGGTTAAAATCCTGGGATTTGAAAGCAGGCAGACCTGAGCTTACATGCCTCTTTCTTGTTTACTGGCTATGTTATGTTAGGTGAGTCATTAACTGCTCAGAAATTTACTTTCCTTACCAGAAAAATGTGAATAAAAGTGGGACCTACCTCCTGGCCTTTACTGAAGATTTTTAAAATAAAATGCATGAAAAACTGGTAGCATCTAAGCAGTCAGGATGTGGAAGGTGTTCATGTCTTTTTCCCCGTCCTGACTGCACATGTTGACATGGGATGGTCAGTGTCGCAGACCACCTGCTTTGCTCGGTTCGAATCCAGGACCTTCGCCAGACTGGCATTTTGCTTGGGCGAGGAAATGTTTCCTAACCGAATACTGTCTGTCTCCTGCTCCAGCCACATCAACAGGAAGACACAATATGAGAACCCAGTTCTAGAAGCCAAACGGAAGAAGCAGCTTGAGCAGCGGCAGCAACCCCAGCAGCAACCCCAGCAGCAGCCGCAGCCCGAAGGTTGGCTTTCCCGGATGTGTGGGCAGAGGAGCTTGGGGCAAAGCCTGGGCACTGACACCCCCGTGTGGTCAGACCCGGCCTCTGTGTTCGTGTCCTCCTGCCTTGCAGCAGGCAGACCTGCTGTCCTGCAGCACTGTTTTGCTGTCCTGTCCAGCTTCTGAGGGAGCTCCCTGCCCAGAACCCAGACAGCTGGGGAGGAGGGGGGATGGTGTGCAATCCCAAGCCTTCCCACCCCACCCCCCCACTCTCCACTTTAACGTAGAAATGGGCTGTTGCCAAACTGGAGAACTTTCTGTTGCCCCAGCATGTTTATAATACCACCTGGTGTCTAAATCCAAACTGCTTTGAGCACTTTCAGAGGAGTTCCTGTGTATGAAATGAACTTCTAATTTTAGGAACGTGACATGTAGGAATCAGAAAAAGCTGGTAATTTGGAATGCTTTTTAAAAACTGTAAGTTAATTCATGCTCTTTACAAACATACGAACAGTTCAAGAATGGAGAATATTAAGTTCTCCCCTGCTGGCTCCCATCCCATTCTCAATGATAAACACTGTGCAGAATCTCTCTAGGATTGTACATAGATGCATATTTGAACAAAAATCAGATCATAACTTATATGTATGCTTTCACACACACACACACACGTATTAGCTTTGTGACCTCATTTTCTCATTTAAATTTATTTCTTATACATAGTTCAAAGCTGGTTAATACAGATTTACCCTCTAATTTTTAAGGGCTGCATAATTTTCCATTTTATGAATCTCTCCATTTAGCCATCTTTTTATTTAAAAGATCTAATTATTAACAGTCATCTATTTATTAATAGGGTTTTTTAGTTTTTCATTGCAACCTTTTAAAATGATAGCCTTAATAACCCCTCAACATATAATGTGTAAATAGCAAATACATGAAAATCAAATATAATACTTTTGAATATAATAAATATAAACCATAGAGTAGAAGTTGGTAAACCTTTTCTGTAAATGGCCAGCTAGTGGATATTTTAGGCTTTGCTGTTCATATAGTCTCTATTACAACTGTTCATCTCTGCCCTTAAAGTATGAAAGCACCTATACACAATCTGCAAATGAATAGTTGCAGCTATGTTCCAATAAAACATTGGATATGAACGTTGAAATTTGAACTTCATGTAATTTTCATGTGTTACAAAGTATTTCCCATTTTAATTTTTTTTCAACCATTTAAAAATAGAAAAACCATCCTTGGCTCGAAAGTTGTATACAAATAGACGTTAGGGCCAATTTGGCCTCTAAGCCATAGGTGGCCAACCTCTGCCATAGATTGTATTTTACTGTTGTGTTTTTTTGTTTCATTTGTTTTTTAAGTTAGTTCTATGCCCAACATGGGGCTAGAACTCATGATTCCGAGATCAAGAGTTGCATGCTCTACCAACTGAGCCAGCCAGGCACCCCCTAGACTGTATTTCAGATAGGGTGTGTACGTGTGTGTGTGTGTGTGTGTGTGTATGCACCTATCGAAAAGGTCTCCTTTTGACCTTCATCTCTTTTCTATTTAAAAAAAGGTCTTGGGCGCCTGGGTGGCTCAGTTGGTTAAGCGACTGCCTTCGGCTCGGGTCATGATCCTGGAGTCCCAGGATCGAGTCCCACATCGGGCTCCCTGCTCAGCAGGGAGTCTGCTTCTTCCTCTGACCCTCTTCCCTCTCGTGCTTT